TGAAGTAAAGCTTCAGGGTAATGTACCTTTGCATTTACTACCAGACTATTTAATGTAAAGATTGTGCCATTTCTTTCCATATTTCATAGAGTAAAAAATGGCTGTTGCAGTCCCCTGGATTTCTGAGCAGTCATGGAGTCCGTGTCTCAGCATTTGGGCTAAATGCGATGCCATTCGTGGGTGCTGGCTGCCCAGCACCTTCCACCCATGCAACAGCTGAGCAGGTGTTTTACAGTTGTGGGTACTGGAGTGGTTGATGTGAGGTCCTTGGCTCAGATCAAGCTAAACCGCTGTCCTCGCAACACTTCAGCTTGATTGTGAATGGGAGATTAATTCTCCTGGCCTCACTAATGGGTCATTTTAGTTTCACTCCTCAAGTGTCAAGGTTAGGGAACTGATCGGCACCTTGCTTCTTAAGGATGTGCTAGGTTCTCTCTGAAATGATGTACTTTTGTTACGCAGATACCTCTGCAGCGATGGTTCTGGACCCTGAGCTACAGCTGTGAGTGAGACTTCTCCAAACTCCCCTCTGCAGGTACTTCCAGTACAGTTTTAGGTTTCTGAAGGGCTTTTGACAGGGCCCCTTAGCAAAGGGTTGGCCTTACCTCAGGGTTGCTTAGCCTCTCTAAGAGGAAAGATCTTCACATGAAAAAAACAGTGGCTCAAAGGAGACGGTGGGTAAATGATCTGCAGAGAGAGGTCGTTGGTGCTGTTCTGTGGGGACTGTGCTGTTCAGCACAATTTGAAATGACCTGGAGAGGGGGCAGACAGCAAGGTGACAAAGCCGTTCCAGAAGCTATCATGCATTAAGTTTCCACCCTAATCTTCTAAACCCATTTTGAAATTGTCAGCTACAGTCTCCCCTTCTCAGCATCCTGTTTCTCTCTTCGTTATGTGGTGCTCTTACTGTAGGGGGTTTTAATATCCTGTTAAAGCGCACCACTATACACGCATTTGTGTTGTCTGACTCTTCTGCTTAGGCAGTTGTGGTAATTGCGAACACCTAGTTATGCTGCTTTTTGGCGTTAGCAAGTTGTTGAATTTGTCCCTGTAAGAGCATAATGGTGAAAGTGTTTTGAACAAAGATCTGTTTAATGGGAAGAGTAAATGATTGGTGAAATGAAAACTACTAGGCTTAACTAAAAGGTTATTAAAAAGATACTTGCCTGGAAGGTTGACTTGCATATAAAGTGCTTGGATGTGTGAAAGGAGTAATTAAAATATGTGATGGTTTCTGGGAAAAGTGTGTTGAACCCTCTTCAAAGAAACTTCCACCAACTCCCTCGGGAAATCCCTTGGACCTTAATTTAACCCAGAGATCGTCACTTCTGCACTTTACATTTTCAATATAAGGGTTTGGAAATCTCTCCCAGGCCCTGACGCTCTCACAGCGTCAGTCTCGGTTGCTGATAGCCTAAAACAGACATAGCCAGTCAGGTTATATGTCTGAAAGAGGAAGAGAGTTGGTGAGCAAATATACCTGCTCTACAGCATTGCTTCATTACAGAGGTTTTGAAGTGTTGTTTCAGCAGAAGTCATTTGTCTATGTTCAGAGTAGCCCATGTATCCGTCAGCTCATTTGTGTCTGCAAAGGCCAGGAATGAAGCCATTCCCTTGGATGCTGTGCTGTGTAGAGGATTCGCTCACAGGCCCACATTGCTGGTGTGTTAATGGGAAGCACTCGAACACAGACACAGGGCTGGAGCTCTGAGCTAGGCAGGGGATCCTGATTGTGCGAGTACTTTTGCTTGCTGGATGGTGCTTGTGAACAATGGGATGTAGAAATACCCTTTGCTAATTTTCCTGTCCCCTCACTACATCGCTTCTGCCCAACTCATTTCCATCACAGGAAAATTGTCTCAAGACTAAGAAGTCAGAATAGCTCTGGCACTACAGATTCCCGTCCCTCACTGACCTGGAATCACTGGCCAGTCCTTGGCAGCTATGGTACTATTTTCTTACTTTGTTAACAAAGGTGTTGCATGGTAAATAGTCCCATGTTTGCAGAGCGTAGATATGGCACCTTACAAAGGAAAAGCTACTGCTGTACAGTCTTTCTGCTCCTCTGCATACCATCATCCTCCTCTTACACTATGTCTTCTGCTTCAGACTCCTCCACGCCGGCAGGAGTCTTTGATGTAAACAGGGAGCCCTAAGCAATCCATCATTTGTCAATTAATCTGAGCAAAGGGCATTGAAATCTCTGGAGTAGGCAGCTTTCATTTAAAGTGAGGCTTCATCATGTGATGATCTGCCTCTGGTCTTGTAAAGTTTCTGTTGGTATAAGGAGCCCCGCTGCGATTTTCCTATTGCAGACTGAAAACAAGCGAGGACTGAGATCTCTCCAACAGAACGGCAGATGAATAGCATTTCACTAGGGTAACATACTAGAAGTAGAAAGGAAAACAGTGCTTTTATTGTGGTGATCTGAACTGTGTCTGATGCTTTGAGAAGTTAAAAAATTGTGGGCCTGTGCAAGGCTGGAGTCACCTCAAAAGACCAACTACTTGAATGGGAGCTAGCCCATGAAGCAGGTAATACAAGTCTCTGCACCAGAGCACAGCCCACCTGTAAATTCCCTGTAGGATGGCAGTGCTGCTGAACTGCCCCCTGCTACATAGGAATGGTGCTTTCCAGAGGAGGGTCTGCTCGAATGAATGTCCTTGTGCAGTTCATGTAATGGCTTTCTTCTTGTTTATCTGCTAGAAGAAAACATCAGAGCTATCAACTTCTTTTGTCATTAAGGATTTTAAGTGTTGCTTACCTGCTCCAAATCTGTAAACAGGAGTAGTGATTTGTTCTCAGTGGATCTGTTTCTGTACAAGCCACCAGCACACATCTTGGTGGCTCTTAAAGAATAGGTCTCTGGGCTCAGAGCCATGCACAGGGAACAGGAAGGTAGCCCAGCCACCAACTTGCCATTTAACAGCTATTCCTGATAACTACCTGGCAGGTCTTAAAAAGAAACCCCTTCCTTGATGCAGGGATGTTCTTTGTTGGGTGTGGTAAGTTTTACCCCAAAACAGTCAGCATGTTTTCCTGCGTGAAAGAGATTGCATGAATTTTCTTCTTCCTCCAAGAATATATTTACAGATATATTTACATGCCTTCAGTAGCACTGCATGGCCAGGTGGTCTGGGACTAGGGCTCAGCTCTTCAGCAGGTTTTTACCACCGTGAGGAGAAAATAAGAAATCCAGCGGAGCATCCTCCCAAAGTGCAGGTGTGTTATACTGGCGGCAATGTTGTTGTAAATGTCTGACCCACTAAGGCAGCAAGGTGAAAGGACCTCTGCTCCTCTCCACACTGGAAAGGAGGACAGCTCTCTCTTTTTGGATGCACTTCTTCAGATTGATGTGATTTCTTGCTGCCATTGAGACAGAAGACAGCCAACTCTAAGTGAGGAAAAGTCCTAGATTGATCTATTTTATTAATACTCTCAAAAGAAGGAAGCAATTTTGGGGGGCTTTTAGCAATTTCCAGTGCAGAGCCTTGCTGAGTGCATTGCGTACTTGCCTGTTTTTTGACCTGACTTCCTTTTTATTTCACAGTTTGCTATAATTGCTTTTTTACTTCTGTCATCAGGAAACACCCTTGAGGAAGAGTTTTAAATGACTTTTCTGTCTTGTCTTGTAAAGGTTGTGCTGGCTGACTTTGTACAGACCTGTAAAACATGACCACCAC